ACGAGCTATGTATTCGCACGAGGGTGTGACCCTAGTATTCTCGTAGTTTGATAATGTTCGTCTGTCATACAAGGTTTGCCTGTTTGACGAGGTTCGCTCATTCGATGAGGTTCGTCTGTTATACAAGGTTCACTTGTTTTAAGATGTTCGCTCATTTGACGAGGTTCATCTGTCATATGAGGTTCGCCTATTTGACGATGTTCGTTTATCAAACGAGGTTCGTCTGATTTGATAAGACGTGACCCTCGCGTTTCGTAGTAATGCGTCCATTGATTGTCTCGTATTCAGGAGTTACTGCATGTAAGAGTTACAATAGTATTAAGAGCAATTTAATGCATTGATGTTATAATATTAATTACCATTGAGAATTATAACAGTCACATTAATTGCTAGTGACTCTTGAGCTGGCCTTAGAGGCCTATAAATAGCGCCGCTCTTGGTGGTTGCTGGAAACTCTCGCGAGCATGGAATACGAACATTGGTATACACACGCTTGCTTAAAAATGAACGTCGAATCGACGTTGTTGCTGTTGTTGTACTGCTGCTGCAGAAACTGTGCCCGCAAGAATCCTGAAACTGAAAGGATTTGAACCAAAAGGTTCTGAGATTGAGAAGATCTTTTGCCTTGACCGGAAGGTCTTATAGATCGAGGAGATCTTGACAGTACTGGGTTGGTGCACACCAGAATACTGTACTGCTATTTCTAAAAGAAGTTTGGCCTTGGGATCCTTGCACCGAAGTAGGCCAAATATTACTTTAAGCACAGCGTTTCACAAACGGACAGCAGTTAATTGAAAGAAATTAAAATAACAACACATCTAAATTCCTCTGTTTGATTTAACCATAATTTCCAACATTTACTACTGTCGTTGCATACTAATAACAAATTATTTCACTTGATATGACTTTGACGGATACTCTATATATGCAAGTTACAACAGTACATCCACATTGTAAGCAGACATGAGTCGTGGCGAAGCCCACTCCATGTCTAACATGGGGAGAAAAGCCCTAGGGAGGGCACTCTTAGCAAGCTCTTGTAGGAGAATGGGAGCTAGGATCACTACACGTACTTCTTATTTAGGAATTCATGAGAAAACATATTACTATTGCAAAAACTTCATGTTGGATGTTGTTAATTAACCACGAGTTATTAATATTATTATTATTAGGAAAAATGTATTAAATTATCTCCCACCTTGCAATGGTCAATTTGAAATTTCTATAGAGGACCCTTTGGAGGGACTTCATTTCTCATTGACACCATAGAATATGCTTTTAGATACACGGCCTAGAAATTTGAACTTGGGTTACTCTAGTACCATCTTAGAATCGCTACCACCGCGTCAAAACTTTAAAGATATGGTCAGTTTATAAGTTAATAGTTTTATGTTCTAAGATTGTATCAGAGTAGCTCAAAGTCAATTCTTACATATATACTGGTCATAAATTTAAAGCGGATTTTAGATATAATTGATATCATAGTATGAGTCCATATTTTTATCCACAAAAAGGACAATCAACCTGGGGGAGCACGTTAGAACATAAAATTATACCTCTCAATGCTCCCAAGACTTCTAGTAAACCCCCATTAACTTTCAAAATCTCACTAAACTCCAATAACTTTTGCAAAATGCCCCCAACATATTTTGCATAAATTACACTAAACCCCGGTAATTTTTAAAATGCTTTTTATGATGTTTTTTGTTCTAATTTATGAGTGTTATCTACAGAATTCGGAAAGTTTATTGGGATTTTTTCAATTCCAAAAAAATTATTAGGGGTTTAGTGTGAATTTCAAAGTTATTGGAGGTATACTGCAAAATACTAAAAGTTCATGGTTGTTTAGTGTAATTTACCCTGCTTATAACCCACTTATTGACAGAACTCCAGCAACGAGATCGCACAAGATGGGCTGAAATTCATAGGCCCAGTCTCCCCATTCTTGCTAAATGCCAGTCACCTTGGTATAAGAATCTATTAAAAAAAGTTCGATTAAGATCAATGCTTGTGATGTAACAAGGAAAGATCAAAATATGGTCATGTTTAGGAAGTCTTAAATCACCCAACCATGCATTAATATGCCAAAACTCCACAGTTGTTGTTGTAAAGTTTAGTTGAAAAATAGTGAACAAGGCTCAACAATATAACTGAATACTCTTGTTATCATTGCAACTGAAGAACAACTTTCTAATAGGCAAAGTATAAAAACTGAAAAACAAAATTTAAGCCCACTTCTTAGCACGTTTTAATGCTAGTGGTAAACCTAAACAGGATTGAATCAAAGTCTAACTACAACCCTACAAACTAGGGATTTATTTAACAAACTAGAGATTTATTTAAACCATAACAAACTTGCCGTACATGCAAGCAACTAACAGTGAGTCTCAACAAACCCTCCGTTAAACTGAATGCAGTTTCATGAATTAGTTTAACACAGGTACCTCACAAACACCAACCTGCTCACAAAAATGCTGAAAAGCTTCCAGTTTCAAAGGCTTAGTTAGCACATTTGCAACTTGATCATGTGTATCACAAACATCATCTTAAGAATACCTTCATTAGTGAGATCTCTTAGAAAATAAAACCTCACATTAATATGCTTGCTTCGGCCGTGCATCACTAGATTCTTGGCAAGTTTTATGGCTGAACTATTATCACACATGATGATTGTTCCTCCTTGTGCATACCCCATTTCTTTTAAAATCCTTCTCATCCAGACAGCTTGACAAGCACAAGTAGCTGCTGCAATGAATTCGGCTTCAGTAGTGGACAAAGTAACAATTGGTTGTTTCTTAGAGGACCAAGCAATAACAGCACCATTCATAAGAAATATGTATCCAGAAGTGCTCCTTCTTCCTTCCAATTCTCCGGCATAATCAATGTCAGTAAAGCCTACTAGCTCTTTAGCTCCTCCTCTTTTATTCAAAATTCCATAGTTGATGGTTCCTTTCAAATACCTGAGAACCCTCTTTGCAACTTTATAATGTAACTCAGTTGGACTTGACATAAAACGAGCAATTCAACTCACTACAAATATTAAATCTGGCCGAGTAGCTATGATGTACATCAAACCGCCAACTATTTGTTTGAACCGTGTCTCATTCATCTTGACTCCTCTTTCATCTTTATTTAACTTGTGGCCTGGTATAATTGGATTGCAAACCGAATTACTGTCCTCCATGCCAAAACGTCTCAGAACTTCCATTGCATACTTTCTCTGACAAATGTAGATTCCGGTAGAGCTCTGCAATACTTCAATTCCTAAGAAAAATGTCATGTTCCCCAAATCTGTCATGTTAAACTCTTTTTGCATTGACTCTTTAAAATTGCTCATCATCAACTCATCATTCCCAGTATAAATAAGATCATCTACATATACACTGATAATGAGAATTTTACCTCCATCTTTCATTTTGCATAAAAGAGTTTGCTCACTTTAACTTTTCTGGAACCCTTCTTTGAGGAAATAAGACTCAATATGGCTAAACCAAGCTCATGGAGTCTGTTTTAAATCGTATAAAGCCTTGTGAAGTTTATAGACCATCTGCTTACACCCTTTCTTCTCGAAGCCCTTTGGTTGATCTACATACACATATTCATTCAAAGTTCCATGCAGAAACGCATATTTGACATCGAGTTAAAATATTGTCCAACCTCATTGAGCAGCAAAAGCTAATACCATTCTCACTGTGTCCATCCTCGCCACTGGTGCAAACACCTCCATATAATCTATCCCATGCTCCTATGAATACCCCTTTGCCACTAGTCGTGCTTTGAATTTGTCAACTTCACCAGGCTCATTCAACTTTGTCTTGTAAATCCATTTGACAACGATCCTCTTTGCACCAATTGGTAATTCAGTCAGCTCCCATGTTCTGTTTTTTTCAATTGGTTTGATTTCAGTCTCCATTGCTTGCCTCCATTTTGTACTCTTTATTGCCTCTTCGAAACTAACAGGGTCGGTGGAGTCCACCAATACCATATTAACAACTTCTTCATCTTTTGAAAGACCTTCACCTGAAATGTAGTCGTCCATTCATGTTGGTGGAGCTCTAACTCTGCCCTCCCCTGCTCTTGATTCTTCTCAGTTAGCAGTGTTTGATGTGCCAATGCCAACCTCTAAAGTCTCTGATTCAGCTACCTCTGCTTCTTCACCTTCTTCATTTTCTTCCTCTTTATTAGCACAAGTTTCTTCATGTTCCCCTTCCACGTCCCTGATTACTTCTTCTCGGTGACTTGCATCCCAATTCCACAAACAATCCTCTTCGAAAACAACAACCCTGCTCACTATAATCCTTTTAGCATTAGGATCATACATTCTGTAGCCCTTGGACTCGTCACTGACACCAAGTAATACACATCTCACACTATTGTTCTCAAGCTTTGTTCTCTTCGCATATGGAACATGAACGTGCCCCACACAACCAAACACTTTGAAGTGTTCTACAGAAGGCTTCTCACCGCTCCATGCCTCTTCTGGTGTCATCTCCATAACAGCTAAAGTAGGAGACCAATTCAACACATATATTGTCCACTTCACAGTCTCAGGCCAAAAAAATTTAGGAACCCTTTTCTCAAAAAACATTAACCTCATCAAATTCATAACAGTCCTATTCTTATGCTAGGCTACTCCATTTTGTTGCGGAGTATAAGCCATAGTCAATTGTCTCTTTATTCTACTAATTTACAAAACTCATTAAATTCTACAGAATTAAATTCCCTTCCCCTATTTGTACGAAGACACATAATAGGCAACCTACTCTCCTTCTCAACTAGAATCTTAAAACACTTGAAGTAATAAAATGCTTCTGACTTCTCGAATATAAAATATACCCATGCTTTTCTCGAATAATCATCTATAAAGCATAGGACGTACCTTCTTTGGCTGTTAGAAGCTGGATTAATCGTGCCACAAATGTCTACATGAATCAACTGTAATATCTGAGTAGGCCTCCACTGACTTTTCTTCGGAATTGGATCACGATGTTGCTTCCCCTTCATGCAGTCTTCACACACGTGTAGATGCCGGTAACTGAGGTAGGCCTCAAACCATTTCCTTGAACTGAAGTGTTCTTAGACCCTTGTGGCTGAGGTGAGCATATCTGCAATGCCATAGGTATGCCGGATTCGATGTAGTGGCCTGGAAGCATGCTTCCTTCCTTTCTTGAACTCGAGCAAACAATACAAACATCATGTTTGTTGTTATGTTTGTTTGGATGATCAATCCCCTGAGTAGATGATAAATTCGACACATCCCTGATTGAATCAAGATAGCCAAACCCCTTTCCTGAAATTGACCTATACCCAAGAGATTGTTCTTGAGCTCATGCACATAAAACACAACTTGAATCACATGAGTTGCTCCACTTACATTCAACTTTATACTCCCTTTTCCGAGTACATTCATCCTCATGTTGTTGCTGAGTTTCACCATTTGGTGGAAAGATCCATCCACCTCTTTGAATGCCGACTTATCTCCGATCATATGATTTGAACAACCAGAATCTAGGAACCAAGCTTCTTCATTGTTTGCATTAGTCATTTCAGCATAAGACATGAGCAATCACTCTTCTTCTTCATCAAATCCGGCAAAGTTTACCTCTTTGTCCCATGATGGGCATTCATATTAGTAATGGCTGAGGTTATGATACTTGAAATATTTAATTGTGGTACTATTGTAACTCTGTCTTCCTCTTCTTCTATAAGTACCCCTGCCACGACCTCTTTCTCCTCTACCTCTTCTCACTTCAACCATAGCTTTTAGGGCTTGTTCTTCACTACTAGATTTCCTCCGAAACTTCTGCTCGTGTACCACTAGAGAACTCTGAAGTTCATCCACAGAAAGACAATTGATGTCTTTCGATTCTTCTATTGAGCACATAATATAATTGAACTTCTCAGTGAGTGTGTGCAATATCTTTTCCACAATCTTCACGTCCTGCATATCTTCCCCAAGGTTACGCATGTTATTGGCTCCCAACATAACCCTGGAGAAGTAGCCAGTGACTGTCTCACCGATTATCATCTCTAGCACTTCAAATTCCCTTCGTAGAGCTTGTAATTGTGCATGCTGGACTCTCTTATTCCCTTGGTAGTTTCTCTTCATCGAATCCCACAACTGCTTGGCCGTGTCCTTTTGAAGAACGGTCTTCAAAATGGACTTGTCAATTGCTTGGAAAATGTAATTTTTTTACCTTCAAATCTTTTAGCTTCAACTCTGTTAGGGTTGTTCGTTGCGCAGCCATCAACACCTCTCCTCTGGCAGGTTCAGTGTAGCTGATTTCGACAAGGCTCCACCATTCTTTTGATCTAAGCAGATTCTCCATCAACATGGACCAGTGCTCGTAATCGCCATCAAACTTGGGAGTACTCAGCAGGTTCTGTCCTTCTTTTGCCATCTCCATAAAACACTCTTCTCTCTCTCTCTCTCTCTCTCTCTCTAGGTGTTTCTCTCAACCTCTCGTTTTCTCTAGTTTAGGAGACTACGGTTCCCAAACTCACTCAATCAGGACCCTAAGTGGGGCTCTGATACCAAATTGTAAAGACTAGTTGAAAAACAGTGAACATGGCTCAACAATATAACTGAATACTCTTGTTATCATTGCAACTGAAGAGCAACCTTCTAATGGGCAAAGTTCAAAAACAAAAAAAATGAAATTTCAACCTACTTCTTAGCATGTTTGAATGCTAGTGGTAAACCTAAACAGGAATGGATCAAAGTCTAACTACAACCCTACAAACTAGGGATTTATTTAACAAACTAGAGATTTATTCAAACCATAACAAACTTGCCCAACATGCAAGCAACTAACAGAGAGTCTCAACAGTTGTGAGGATTATCATATTACATTTTAACATATCCTCGCAGATTTAGGTCTTTTTTATGGGCTAAAATCTAAGCTCAAACGACGGTATCAATTACTTAAAACCTATATTAAATTCTTGGTTAGTGGGATCCTGAGTTGCTCGCATGCCATCTTAAATATCATAACACCAAAACTACAAAATTATGTGACTATTAATGGTTATTTTTTTATTAGAAGTTTTGACTATTGATTATAACTAGTAATACATAACTCCTCGCTGTTGCATAAATAACAAAAGGTAGCTCTTGAAATTATCAAAATAAATCAAAGTTATTAGGCCGCACGGTCTCAATATTGACCGATCTTAAATCATTATTGGGATGCCATATTTCATAATTTATTATTTATATATTTTATTATTTGTAATTTATTATAGGTAGTATTTGATAGAGGTGCAGTTGAAAGAGGTGTATTTGCCATGATTGACGATGAGTTGACTGTACAAAAATTTCCGAATACAAAAACTCATCAATGACAATTGTAAAATGTCTTTTCCGTTAACGTTGAAATGTATTGATAAATAGATGTTAGTGAAAGTACCCTAGAGGGGGGTGAATATGGTAATTGCTAATCTAATCCGATTTAGATGCCAAATTAAAACTTATTAACAAAATCCTAGCAATATGATATACACAAGTGATATGTGCAAGGATAAACAACATGACAAATAGGCGATATAAACAATGAGCACAAGATATAAGAGAAATATACGCCAAAGCCAAAACGCAAACACAAGAATATGATCATGGAGTTCGGTCTAACACTCGACCTACATCTCCGCTCCTTACCTTGAGGAGATTCCCCACTATTAACAAATAACTACACAATCGGTTTCCAAAGTTCACCAAAAACTTTTACAATCTACACGTTGTTAATCCTACAAGACACTCCTCTAAGTATTGGTCTATCCGTGTCACCTTTCTCAAGTGCTTGGAATTACTACCTCTCTCTAGACTTTTACAACCAAGTCACTCCTCTTGGAATTGACCCCGATCTCTCCCAACCACCCCTCTAAGTGTCCTTGTATATAACGTGTTCAACAATAATAAGCTCAAATAAATATTTTGTTCTCCAAAAAAGATAAGAACGAAATTGTAAGCTCACTCTCAATGTAACTACTCTCATAACCCAAGTATACTAAATGTGAAATACTTAAGCTCAAGTGGTTGTGTGTGAATATCAATGAGCAAAAATGAAATTTAAACTCAAGTAAATCTAGCTTGTATATATATATATATATATATATATATGAAGATTAAGCTAGAGAATGAGTTTAGAAAACTTCTCCAAAGAAAACAAAGAGATGTAGATCTAGCTTGTATGTATATATACGAATCAAAATGAAGATTAAGCTAGAGAATGAGTTTAGAAAACTTCTCCAAAGAAAACAAAGAGATGTAGATGAAGATTTGAGGTTGAACGCCTCAAAACCAAAGTTAAGATCTTCTCTTTGTGAAACTTTCTTCACATAAATAAACACACCAAAACTTAGAATTAAACAGGTGTAAACACTCTTGAAAACCTTGTAAAAACTCTTGTTAAAAAACCAAGTCTTGAGGGCTATTTATAGTCTCTCAACAAAATCAGCCAAAACTAGACGTTACAACCAAAAAGCATTATCGGTCGATTGATGGTTGAGATTGGTCGACTAAAAAATATGACCATTGGTTGAGCTGGAAAATCAATGCATTATCGGTCGACTGAAGGGTATATATCGGTCGACTGATAATATGTGATCGGTCGATTGATTCAAAGAATTGGTCGACTGATAAGTCTGAAGAACAAACGCTAAAAACTTTCTCAGGTCGGTCGACTGATGGACATATGTCGGTCGACCGAAGAGTGCTTATCGGTCGACTGATAAGCTGACATTCCAGACACTGAATTTTCTAGAAAACTTGATTTTCTAAATTCAATTTAACATAACAAAACAACTCCAAAAATAATCAAACTTGGGAAAATGTTTATATATATGAAAATAAACACATTAGAAGAAATTTCTAAAATAGCATTTCCCAAGTGTGAAAACTTAAGTATTTTGCAAGCTATTAACAAAATGAAATCGTCAAATACTTGGTTTTGATGAAACAAGTTTTGAAACACTTTCAAATAGATTAATAAACTTAATAAAATATATAAAATAGTGTCGTTAAGTCTATAATCTGAAAACCACGTTAACTCATGAAAAGATGTGTAATATGATTGAGCTTTAAGTATGACACATAAAGTAAATAACCAAAAAACTACTATACCCAAGCAATAGATCTTCAATTTGCTCGTCTTGGTTGTGGGGATGAAACAATATTAACTTTGACTTGAATTGTGATAGCTTCATTCCAATATCCTTCAAACTCCAAGAATATCATCATTATGCTCAAATCCATCCAAGCTGGATACACGTTGGAGAAAACACAAATACTAGAAAAACAAGATTATAAATTGTTTGTTAATCATCAAAACTAGATGAGAAAGTAGGTTTATAAACATGAGTCCTAACAGTTAGTGGATTTACAAACATTGTATTCTATTATATATATAATTTATTGCCCCCCACCACCGCATGACATCTGGCTCCGCCCCTCCTTAATTACCCGATAGCTTTCTGCATATTTGACTTTTGAGTTCATCCTACTAAGCAAAGGACCATGCTGATGAAAAAGAAAAAGAAAAAGGACCAACTTACATTCACGGCATGAAGCTAGATGCATGAACCAACCTCAACCTCAAAATTCTTATCTGAAAACATTGAGAGATTGAATTTGTACTGTGGTATACTTAATCTTTAGGTCTTCGTTGATTTTCATTTCATACAAAGGTTTTCCTCATCAAAAAGTGCTTATGTTCTTCTGGGTTTGATTTGTAATTTTTTATTCCGTTGTTCGTTGATTATTTTGTTGTTGACAGTCATTAGATTGATGGAGATCGGTCTTGCGTTATCATTGTTGGGATTGTGTCTTTGATTCTTTGTATAACTTTATAAGAATTAGATAGGATTAGAGATGATTAGTAGATTGGGTCTCATCATAATTAAGAGTTTGTGTCCTATTTTAATTAGGAAGTTGGGAAAGGGCAGGGTTTTTGTTTCCTTTCATATAGCCTTCTATTATTGGAGGAAAACTCAAGTAGAGGAGAGAGCTAATATTCTTGTAATCTAGGATTACAGAGAGCGTAGCCTAATTCAAGAATATTGTACGATAAGCGAGGATTTCATAGTCTTTGCTTGTCCAAAAGATAATAACATTGGGAGATGTTGAGATTTTTAGATCTCGCAAAAACCCTAAAAATCACCAAACATAGCAATTGAAAGCACACGAGATTTAACGTGGAAAACCCTCAATAGGAACAAATCAGAGATCGAAAATAATCCATTATCACCTCCAAATTATAATCTTTTACACGGACAAAGACTGTCAAACCCTCTCTCTCTCTCTCTCTCACAATACCCTTGAACCCGGTTACACTCTCTGTTAAACCCTGATTATAAGAATATTGTCTCTCTCCCTCTCTCTAGCTCAAAACCCTAGAATAGGATGCCTTATTTAAAGACACTTCTGACTTGTCCACCAAGTTAACTTGGCATCTAAGAAGACTACTAGGACTGGGCCTACCCTTTAAACCTGCATCCAACTTGTAGTTTGAGTCAGTACCCAACATATCCTCCCTCGGCGAAAAATCTCTAAGTATCTTAACGGCTTTAGCACTCTCTTCTTCTTGTTCTTCACCTCTCTCTTGTGGACAAGAGTCTGAGAAGAGTGATCTACAACATTAACAGATTGCCCATCTAAATAGCAAATATGGTTGTTAGTCTTCCTCCCTTGAAAAATCAAATCACTATCTTTATACCCTTTGCACCACTCTCCTTCAGCCACATACTTGTACCCACACGATGTCATCTCACCCAATAAAATTAAATTAGCACCACATGACGACATATATCTCACATGACGAAGAATTTTGACCTTCCCAGTGTGAAGCTTGAGGCAAACACTCCTAACGCCTTCAACGTTCATATTCTCGTTGTTTTCGATGGTCACGTCATCAAATTCTTCATCAATCTTCAATGTGTCAAAATAAATTTTGTTATTGTAAATGTGGATAGAGGCTACACAATCTAACACCCAAGTGTTACTTGTATTAGTACCTGTACTCTATATCAACAATAGCACATCTTCATCACACACACAACTACCAAAGAGTCCACCTTTTCCCCATTTTCTTAAAGCTTCATCTATCTAATACTCTTCAAATCATCTCGCATCTGGGAATATCTGAACTGAATGCGACCATTCTCTCCGCAATAATAGCACTCCCTTTCGCTATCGTGTCGGGCCTGAGATTTTGACCTTTCTCGATAACTATCACATCTTCCCTTACTCCTACCTCAATTAGAACCTTCAAAAATTAGTGCACTCTCACCACCATTAGATGCGCTCTCATTCCCCCTTATTCTTTTCATTCTCATGTAGGAGTGTTGTCATATCATTGAACTTCAAAGTCTGCTTCCCTGTAATTATTGTTTGAACTAACGACTT